GATGGGGATACCCAACCCGTGGTTCGGTCCCGGCAAACGCCAATCCGTCTTCGTGTTTAGTTCGAATTCGTTGCAAATACGTTCGTAGGCCCGTCTATCGTATTGGTTGTTTACTGCATTCCACGCCTTTTCCTGTGGGAGCGGGGCGCTGATCTCTTTGAGGATACGCCTGACCTGGTAGTACACGTGAAACGTGAACACAGACTGACTCAGCGATCCACGCCGAGTGTCGGTCAATGTCACACCACACCCCGTTGTAGCGCACCACACGGCGAAGTTGAGTTGATTCTGCCAGAACTGCATCGGTTTGTTGAACCAAGCGTGAACTACCTTAGCGTTAGTCACCGAAAACTTATACTTATCAAACACATCTATGAACTGGGCGTCGAAATACAACCCGGCAGCGACCACGATCTTCATGTGGGGGGGAAATCTACGTCCAGTTTAGGGTAAAACACTCCAGGGGAGTACATTTTAAAACTATTATATAATGAGTTTATATACTCTAACATGTACATAACACTTCCAGGAATAACGAGCGGTGAGGCCGTTCAGCTGACGCACGCGATCGATAATACGTCGGGGCAACTCGAAGTAGCACTGTGCGATATAACCTACCTACCGCGATGGACTAACATCAACGCTAGCAACAATAAACTGTTCGTAGGTGGTGCTCGCAACCAGATAACTGCCGGCTACTACAGCGTGTGTTCTCTAAGCGACGAGGTCTTCAAACCCCTAGGAGCCGAACTCAAGATGAACGACTCAAACGGCACAGTGGTGTTAATCAACAACGGAAGAAACTCCTTGAGACTTGGCCGACCATTGGCGAGGACACTCGGTATGCAGCCTGATGAGATAAAACCAACGACTACCACCACAGGCACTAAGTTACCCGACCTAGTACCGTATCGAGAGCTGTGCATTCATCTCAGCCAGGTTAGCACAACTGACAACATTCAAGGGGGGTCACCCTTCCACTATACTGAGAGCCGTACCGGTGAAAACGGAGAAATACAACGACGGTAGAACTGAATCGTTTTCACCTCGGCACTGAAAAACAGCATTTACAAACGCGTTGAAGTCCCCTCCGGTGGTACTAGCAACCTAAGTGATATAGTAGATACCACAAGAGCGGCAGTCAACACTAAGTACACCCTTGTCAACACCGGCGATAACTGGATAATATACCCATCGTTCGGAGGCAAACTGTTCGACTTAACCGATGTTGAGAGCAACGTGACGGCTATCACCAAAAATAAGCCATATACACTCGTCTTCACCGATGATGACAAGTGGGTGTTGTTACCCGATAAAGCCGACTGGTTTCTCAATATTAAGCTCGGCTCCCCATACGTGTTCACGGATAACAAAGACAACCACCTAAACAAAGTCGTGAACAACGGAACCCTGCTCGTGGCTTACGTCCCGACTCAGAGACGTAGCGTAGTCATCAGCCCACTCGCCAGTATGGCAGCCCACATGCTATCGGGTAAACCCGGGATGCAAAACGTGGTATTGCAGTTGGTGTCTGAATTCGAAGGCGTGGTCAAGATCCTAGAGAGTCTACCGGCGAACTCAACACTGATCATCCAAGTCTACCTAGGGGAACCATCGCGGGATGATGTCGAAATCGTAAAGGGGGTCAAACTCCGGTGGGGGAAACAACAACAGTATCACGTTTGCAACGTTTACGTGCGGGTGGGTGTCGACTCCAAAACCAGTCTGCAGGGTGTCACCGTGATCGTGGAAGACACGATATCACTAACCAAGATCTTCCTACCCGACAACATACACTTCATGGGGGTGAAGTGCACCCCTGAACTATTATCAGAAAACCAGTTGGAAACTATATCGTAGTAGTATTATAGCAATGACCAGTCATCGTCCCAACACCACGCTTAACGACCTAGGGGACACGGAGGGATTCGACCAGCCTGGTGAGGAAGACACCTTATACATCCTGCACTTGAAAGACAACGTGTATAGGCGGGTGTCGTTATCAGATTTTAAAGAGCCTGAATGGATAGTCAACTTAACCCTCGCCTCACCTTATATCACATTAAAGGAACACAGTTATATCTCTGAAATTAAAAACAGCGGTATCTTACCAGCGTGTTTCGTTCCGGCCCCTAATACAAGGATGATACTAAGGCCGGTTTTACCCAATATGTTACAGTCATTCCAAGGGGGCGAGTTAAGGTATGACTGCTACGGGCACATAGGGATTCCATCTATTGTACCAGGCTCCACACTTATCATAGACGTCTATATCGACAGAGTTAACAGTAATAAGGAATTACAACAACTTTTACCTGGGGTCAGAGTACTCTGGTATCCCCGAACCTATAGTAAACGTTACCGTATCATCATACAACTGGACCCCTCAAGGGGTTCTATAACCCACTCAATAAACCCTGACGAGGGGGCTGTTGTGGATGCAGAGTTACCTATTAAATTCTCACCTATTTTCCTACATGAGGATTTATTCCTTATAAGCCTCAAGTACGTTGATCGACTGTTAACTGAAGCCCAATTAAAAAATATCTTATAAGATATATTATAGGCACACAGGATGGGGCTGTACCCAGTCGTAGAGGAAGTAGTGAAGACCCTGGAAACCGTAGACGGGTTCCGCTTGAGGCAGTTATGCGATGTAAAACGCCAACTAGAACAAGACCGCGACAAGCGGAAAGCACTATATAAGAAGTACCATAGAGCTTTCAATGCCGTGGACGGGACTGATACTACCCTTATGGTAGCCAGCATGGGCCTAGGGGTGGCAGGTGTTGGGTTGTTAGCTACCATCGTGGCCGCACCTATAGTGATGGGGCTCGAAATAACAGCTGGGGTGACAGGGGTGTTGGGGTGGTGCTTAAGCTTGTATCCCGCAGACTGCATCGTAAAGCATTGAAGCATAATGAGATCGGGGTTCTAGCTGAAGCAAAGCTTAACACCATAAGCGATCTTATTTCCACTGCACTCACTGACAGTAAGATCTCAGAGGAGGAGTTTCGTTTAGTCCTCTCTGAACTCGCAAAATATCATAGAATGAAACAAGAGATTCGATCCAAGTCTCGTAAGTCTGCTATAAGCGAGGACGAGAAAAAAAAGTACATAGAACAAGGGGTGAAAAAAGCCCAGCAAGCCTTTATTACGAACACCAAAGAGATCATAGGCGATTCACATTAAACTGTTTCGTCGAGGTAAACATGGCATAGCGGCACGTTATACGCAATCCCACACACTTCAGCCGTGGGCGTTCGTATCCCGCTAGCGTCCCAAACTTTTTTATAGTAGGGGTAATGGTAGCAAGAGCTAAGGGTCCGACCAAAGCCTTATTCCCCAAATAAGGCTTTGCAGAGGCTTTTGTTGGACCTGGTCCCGGACAATCATTCCCTCTACTACTTAACCGCAAATGAAACATTAGCGGGAATCAACAAAAAGTCTATAAAGCCAATGAGATAGTGGTCAAGGTGACAACGGTTACTAACCAAAGTTAGCATAGACTCAGATTGTCAGATTCGTCATCACTGAAGGTAGGAATATAGGTGCCGATAAAATAGAGGAACATGTATGGTATGTAAAAGAGGTATACAGAATGTTTGTTTGTTTGTTTGTTTGTTTCTTGTTGTTTTACTCAGCAATATTCCATCTGTATGACTTCGTGAGCATCGATCTACGCATTTGGGATACGATGCATTTGCCAACCAAATATATAGCATGCACTATAAACAACTCTGTAAATAAAGCAAACTTCAGTTGAAACATACTGAAACATTTGCCTTTGCAGGGTGATCGAAACACAAATAAATTGTAACTATGTTATTATGAAGTTTTGAATTTGGTGCTATGACATTTCTGTTTGTAAAACATAATGATAGTGTAATGAATATATATGCTTGTTTTTGTTTTGTTTTTGTTTTAAAAAAACCCAACTCCTTTTGACTTTGTACTTGTATGAATGCAGACTTGATGGCTGGAATAATGCCGATGTGACATACAGTCCAACTCAACTCAACTCAATTCAACGGAACACAGAGCTTGATACAGATCGAAATCTACAACGGCCATTGGCGAACCAAGTCGATATTCAGTTTTTCCTGCTGAGACACGCAAGCCAGTGAAAAGCGTCCTATACAATGGTCAGTCATTCTAGCCTGTGGTCCTCGTTTGTAATCAACCAGGAAATTGTTCGCAAGAACAGGGAAAGACTCGAGGCAACACCCTTTATCAATATGTCCACTGATTAATTATAAACCAACACTAATGTCAAGTGTAAACCATTTCCTACGGTTTGGGGAACTACATAATTTCGTAATAGCACGCTGAAGTTAATGGATTCTTAACACTTTTAGAAACCTGAAGTTATTGACTTGCTAATGGCGTTACGTACAACCCAGTGCCATCGATTCTGGCTAGAGAACATACAGACAGTTTGGTTATCATAAACGGAGAACAAACAGGTTTTAGAACATGGTTAATGGCTTTGCATCACCCTTCTTTAAAATAACCCGGGGCTGTCGTCAAGGGGCCCTCTATCGCCTTATATATTGTTTATTTGTGTAGACATTTTGGCCTTAATGATAAAGAAAGTATATAAGAGGAATAAAAATTGATAATATTGAATACATTATGTCACAATTTGCTGATGATATGACGATGACACTGGATGGTTCTGAAAGATGTCTTTATGCTGCTTTGAATAGATTACAATTCTTTGCAAGATTGTTTCAGCTAAAATCTAATATTGAAAAAACAAAGCAACTTTGAATTGCCCGTAGCAGTCACAGTCATATTCATATATATGGCATATATATGGCATTTATGAAACCATTTAGAATTGAAAATGTTCTTTGGACAGTCGAGAGCAATCTATCTTTAAACACTTGCAATGACCAAAATAACACTATGATTTGTATCAGCAGAAAAAAAGTTAAAATGATTTCTGCTTTTCGAATTCTGCTGGTTTCAATTTTCGTAAAAACCATAAATCTTACCCGCTCCATTGAACAGAGTCTTCCACAGCGAGAGCCACAATGAAAACTGCCAATACAAACGCTTCCATACTGAATGAACTTAGGAGTGACTTGATCGAGACTATATACCCTCTAACAAGGAAGCACAATACCACTCTTTGTTATCTCAGTCCCGCCAAGTAGACTGAACAGATCCGTTCATGATGGGGAGGGGGAGGGGAGGGTTGATGTACTCTCTATGTTTGTTTATGTTCCATGAGGCCAAAAAGGGTTACAACATAGAAAAGACATCAACCCATGGGGCCTGCGAACAACGTATTCTACTACTAGAATTAGAAAAACTAGCCAATCATCATCTGAATAAGCTTTCATGATGACAGGTAGAAGTAGTCAATGTGAATGATCCAAACGATCTATCACTGTGCAGTGCACAGGTAACTATCATGAACTGCACGTGCATTGACCTTTATGACCCAACACTGACGCTGTTACAGGTCATTGGCTCCCGCCCTCTGCAAGCATTCTGCGTTCTGCTGTTTATTTTGTTGACAGTTACATAGACAGATTCTTTAATACAAATACATAAAATCGGTGATTTACAATTTGATGAGGTTGTCTGACAAAACATTCACATGCACAGTTTGAGATCGATTTGGTCATTGGATGAATAGTTATTTACAAAAAACGGGTCCACATGCATTTCATGCCAAACTATAAGTGAAGTGTCCTGTCAAATCGGCACAGATTCACTTTGCAGATTCACTTTGGAATAAAGAAAAGTATGTGGAAATAAACTCAGCATGTGAAGTAGATATTGCTGAATTCTACAGGATTGTAAAAAAACAAAGGAAAACTAAGACTGTTAGCAGACACCTGAAATATAAGGAGCGTTCCTGCAATACACCAGCTGAAGTGTGCAACTTGTGGGCAGACTACTATGCAGATCTATTATCACCTCTTGAACGGCCGGAGTTTGATAACGACTTTCAAGAATCAGACAGACTCTAGAGTAAGACCAGGTCTCAAGAATACCACCACACGATGATGACCCTATACTCAAAACGGACGTTGAAATCAGTGAACTAAAACGATTGAAACAATGCCTAAAAATGAGAAAATCACCTGGACCGGACCAAATCACAAATGAACACATTTATTTCAATGGCGCATGTGCTCCTCAAACATTTAACTAAGTTTGTTTAACATGATGACACATACCTGCTATATCCCTGCATTGCTAAGATCTGGAACAATTATACCAATATATAAAGGAAACAATAAGGACCGATCGGACCCTGCCAATTACAGAGGTATAACCCTCACCTCCGGCCATCGGGAAACTGTTTGAGAAGATCCTGTTAGAAAGAATTCAGAGGTATGTTAAATATATGGAACCTGACTTCCCCATAGACTACAGTGTGGATTCCGACCAGAGCATGGTGCAAACGTAGCTACCTATATACTCAAAGAAGTGATATCATTTTATACGGAAAGATCCTCCAATGTATACACTGTGTTTCTCGACAATGAGAAAGCGTTCGATCGCGATCTGGCACAACGGTCTACTACTAAAACTATTTAACCTAGGTGTGCAAAGGAAAAGCCTGGCATATAATACGACAGTCGTAATGACGAATCAACCGGATGTGTCAGATATGATGACAAGACAAGTCGGACGTTCAAAATCAGACAAGGCGTAGGACAAGGGCGTGTGCTATCCGCGTGGATGTTCCTTTGTGTATATAAACGAGCTAATATGTCGCCTTGATCAGCTGAGACAAGGCCTTATCCTTGGAGGTGACCACTATCCAGTAGTCCTACTCGCGGATGACACGACACTCGTAAGCCCGACAAGTAGTGGCCTGCGTATGTCTTTAGAAACTGTCCATCAATATGCTTGCCAATGGAGGCTGACATATAATGCAAGCAAAAAGCTGTGTATTAATATTTAAAGGTGGAAACAAAATTGACCAGTCATCACCTTTCAGCCTGGGCAACCACATACTGTCCATTAAGTCCGAACACAATATACGCAGGTTCCTTTATAAATTCCTCATTTGGAATCCGAAAGGAGTACGAGAGCGTGTGCTAAGGCGAGACAAACCTTGAACTCACTTTAGAGATATTGGACTTAAAGCTGGTGGTCTAAACCCAGTCTGTTGTGTTAACATTTGGCGAAGAGTAATAATTCCTTGTGCCTTCTACGCGAGTGAGCTGTGGTCAAATATGTCACGCACAGAAATAAATACCATTGAAAATACCTAGCGCTACTTTGCACGAACTGTGCAAAATTTTCATCAAAGATCTCCGACCGCTGCAAACTATTCAAACTCTAGGACTGTGGACTATGACAGCTACTATCGACAAAATGAAGCTGATGTTCCTTGGAAGGTTGTGCCGAAGCAACCACAGATATGCCTTTTAAAAAGATATTCTATTTCAAGTGTGCTCAGTATATAGCAGCCGGCTACAAATGTGAGTCTGTAACACACGATCTTCTCAATGTAGCCAAGAAATATGAATTATGGAATGCAATTGATCTCTTTATGAAAAACTAACCAGTTTCCATCCAAGGAGGCGTGGAACAAAACTATACGGGCCAAGATTACAGAGCATCAAACTGCTCATTGGCATACATGCCTGCAAGGTCGCCCTGAACTGGACAGATTCTATAGAATCCACAGTAAACTGGTTCCATTGATAGACTTTGGAATATGTGTATACTATACAATATCCCAACCAGACCTGTGTATGCACTTCTGTGAAACTAGGAATGCTACCAATAACACCTGGTCAGTGCTCAATGTGCAATGAAGAGTGCAATGATATAATAAAACACCAACTGGTATATTGTACAGCTTTAGCTGATGCAAGAAACATTCTTTATGAGCATCTGTTTGACACATTAAGCCTGGAACAGTACATCTGTATCGAAGACTGTGCAGATGACGAAGTCAGAATTGTGACATTCCTAGGTGGAATAAACTTCTATTATAGATATGCTTGTTTTTGTTTTGTTTTTGTTTTAAAAAAACCCAACTCCTTTTGACTTTGTACTTGTATGAATGCAGACTTGATGGCTGGAATAATGCCGATGTGACATACAGTCCAACTCAACTCAACTCAATTCAACGGAACACAGAGCTTGATACAGATCGAAATCTACAACGGCCATTGGCGAACCAAGTCGATATTCAGTTTTTCCTGCTGAGACACGCAAGCCAGTGAAAAGCGTCCTATACAATGGTCAGTCATTCTAGCCTGTGGTCCTCGTTTGTAATCAACCAGGAAATTGTTCGCAAGAACAGGGAAAGACTCGAGGCAACACCCTTTATCAATATGTCCACTGATTAATTATAAACCAACACTAATGTCAAGTGTAAACCATTTCCTACGGTTTGGGGAACTACATAATTTCGTAATAGCACGCTGAAGTTAATGGATTCTTAACACTTTTAGAAACCTGAAGTTATTGACTTGCTAATGGCGTTACGTACAACCCAGTGCCATCGATTCTGGCTAGAGAACATACAGACAGTTTGGTTATCATAAACGGAGAACAAACAGGTTTTAGAACATGGTTAATGGCTTTGCATCACCCTTCTTTAAAATAACCCGGGGCTGTCGTCAAGGGCCTCTATCGCCTTATATATTGTTTATTTGTGTAGACATTTTGGCCTTAATGATAAAGAAAGTATATAAGAGGAATAAAAATTGATAATATTGAATACATTATGTCACAATTTGCTGATGATATGACGATGACACTGGATGGTTCTGAAAGATGTCTTTATGCTGCTTTGAATAGATTACAATTCTTTGCAAGATTGTTTCAGCTAAAATCTAATATTGAAAAAACAAAGCAACTTTGAATTGCCCGTAGCAGTCACAGTCATATTCATATATATGGCATATATATGGCATTTATGAAACCATTTAGAATTGAAAATGTTCTTTGGACAGTCGAGAGCAATCTATCTTTAAACACTTGCAATGACCAAAATAACACTATGATTTGTATCAGCAGAAAAAAGTTAAAATGATTTCTGCTTTTCGAATTCTGCTGGTTTCAATTTTCGTAAAACCATAAATCTTACCCGCTCCATTGAACAGAGTCTTCCACAGCGAGAGCCACAATGAAAACTGCCAATACAAACGCTTCCATACTGAATGAACTTAGGAGTGACTGGATCGAGACTATATACCCTCTAACAAGGAAGCACAATACCACTCTTTGTTATCTCAGTCCCGCCAAGTAGACTGAACAGATCCGTTCATGATGGGGAGGGGGAGGGGAGGGTTGATGTACTCTCTATGTTTGTTTATGTTCCATGAGGCCAAAAGGGTTACAACATAGAAAAGACATCAACCCATGGGGCCTGCGAACAACGTATTCTACTACTAGAATTAGAAAAACTAGCCAATCATCATCTGAATAAGCTTTCATGATGACAGGTAGAAGTAGTCAATGTGAATGATCCAAACGATCTATCACTGTGCAGTGCACAGGTAACTATCATGAACTGCACGTGCATTGACCTTTATGACCCAACACTGACGCTGTTACAGGTCATTGGCTCCCGCCCTCTGCAAGCATTCTGCGTTCTGCTGTTTATTTTGTTGACAGTTACATAGACAGATTCTTTAATACAAATACATAAAATCGGTGATTTACAATTTGATGAGGTTGTCTGACAAAACATTCACATGCACAGTTTGAGATCGATTTGGTCATTGGATGAATAGTTATTTACAAAAAACGGGTCCACATGCATTTCATGCCAAACTATAAGTGAAGTGTCCTGTCAAATCGGCACAGATTCACTTTGCATCGAACTTTGTAAAGAGATAATGTCCTCTTTGTTGAGGGGCAGTGAGATAGCCTAGTGGTTAATGCGTTCGCTCGTCACACCGAAGTAGTTATATAATGATGGTTCTATTACAGGGTACCTCATAGGCTTATTTCTACGTAATTCCGCTCCCAGCGCCTTGTATAAAATAGTGATTTTCGAGACATCATTCAATGTACAGCCGAGCTCGCCAGCCAGACCCATTACACTCGCAAAGTGTCTATCATTTTTCCAGCAAC